ATAACCTGGGTGCTGTTGGTAAGCGTTAATGACACACTAAACATTCCGTCATTCGGGTTGGGATACACCAATAACTTCGTATGCCGTACCACTGGCGCAGTGGAAGATTCAGTATGCCCGCTACTCACTGCCCCTTTACTACCCGTGGTATTAATGACACAATCTGTTTTGTAGGTGGCACCATTATTCATTTTCACGATCGAGTTGGCATTATGCACAGCCAGATCTGTATTGGCAGTGCCGAGTTCCGGCACAACATTGAAAGCGGTACTACCATTCCATTTGTAAATAGCATTGTCTACTGATCCGGTTATGTATACGGAACCATCGGCACCACAAGCCACATGCCTGCCGGTATAGCCGCTGATCGTTATCCATTGGTTGGATGTGTTTAAGTATTTAATGCTATAGTTTGTCCGGTCTGTGTACCAGATCCGTCCGGACGCGTCCACAGCAATGTCACCTGCATCCGTGTTTGCATATCTGACAAACGAAGCAGCATTGCCGCCGGTGATCATTCCTCCATTACCGGTATTTGTACTGCCGTTGCCGTTCCATTTCCAAACCGCGTTATCTGTACCAATGATGGCCACTGTATTATTGGCACCGGCAGCCACTTTAAGTGCTGACGACTGAAGGAATTCTGTTGACATATTTACCGGTATGCCGGAGGCATTGCAAGTGATAAAAAATACGGAGGGATATTGACCATCTGCCACCCACCAAAGGTTCCCGTTGCTTTGTACCGCAATGCTGGAAGCATAGATTGAGTTAGAGATCCGGCTCCAGTTGGTACCGTTCCACAGGTAAAGCCGATCATCATTAAATACAGCGTATGTCCTGCCACTGAGGCCAGCCATTATCTGTATGACGCCTGTTGAGTTGGGTATGGCCACCATTGTATTGCCAACCACCTGAACCACGGCGCTATCCGATGTAGCAGCACAGCCCGCGCTATTGGTTACCGTCACAAAATACTTCGTGGTAACAGAGGGACTTACTGTCAATGTTGCCTGTGTGCCAATACTGGTACCGTTTGCGGTTGTCGCCCACTTATAAGTAGCGCCTGTGACCACCGGTGTAGACAAGGTAGTAGCCGATCCGTTACAGATACTTGCGGACGCAGGCGTGATAACCGGTTTAGCAGCCGGGCAATATCGGAAACTGGCGCTGCCAATGCGCGGATTGCCACAGAAATCAGGTACATTGATCGCGTAAAAATTAAACGTGTATTCATTGCCATCGAGATACGCTGCCGGTATGGTATAATGAAACCCATGGTTGCCGGTGATGTTCTGAGCTGCATTTACATCGGGCCTGCTATCATTCGCTGTTATTGCACCCAATATGGTGTTATTGCCAGGACCGCTGCTTACATAAACATGCACCAGCAATGAGCGTCCGGGTTCATCCTTATCAAAAGTCCAGCCATTAATTACATTCGTGGTATTGGAAGATACCGTACCTGGTGCATAACCATCTACCGCTCCCGTAGGCTGGAAGTGATTGACAGAAATGGTCGCTGTAGTGGTCATGTTGCAACCCGTACCCGTCATAACAGCATAAGAGATGGTTGCTATCCCCGAACCAACCGCGGTTACCAGCCCCGTATTGCTTACGGTTGCCACGGCAGGGTTGGCAGTTAACCAAGCACCACCCATTGTTGCATTGTTCAGTTGCATTGTACCATTGGGACAAAGTATCGGAAGGGCTGTTGCTGCAATGCCGGCAACCCAGTTTGAAGAGGTACCTGTCAATGC